TGCAGGAGCACCCAGATACATAAAGCAAATCCTACTTGATCTAAACAAAATGATAAACAGCAATGCCATAATTGCCAGGGACTTCCACATCCTACTGACAGAACTGGACAAATCCTCCAAGCAGAAAATAAGCAAAGAAACAATGGACTTAAACAGAACTCTAGAACAAATGGGCCTAAGAGACATTTAAAGAATATTCTACCCCCAAAATACTGAATGTATATTCTTCTCATCAGCTAATGGAACTTTCTCTAAAAGTGATCACATCCTAGGCCACAAAACAGGTCCCAACAAATTAAAAAAATAGAAATTATACCATGTATCTTCTCAGACCAAAGTGCAATAAAATTAAATAAGTGGAATAAAATTTGTTACCTGTGCTTTTGAGTTCATATCCAAAAAATCAATGCCCAGACCAATGTCAAGAAGCTTTACTCCTTCGGTAGTTTTACAGTTTAAGGTCTTACATTTAAGCCTTTAATTCATTTTGAGTTGATTTTTGTATATGGACATAAAGATTATTCTTATTTTATGGATTATTTTATATCATCTTTTTAATATTCTTTATGTTTCAAAAAAAGACTATTTTTTAAAACAGTTTTAGATTTACAAAAAACATTTGAGAAAATAGTACTGGGCATTCCAATACATCCTGTACCCACTTTCCCCTATTATTAACATCTTACATTTACTGTATGGTACACTTGTTCTGAATAAACCAATACTGATATATTATTATTAAAGTCTATGATTTATTCACATTTCCTTAGTTTTTCCTAATGTCTTTTTGTTCCAGGATTCCATCTAGGATGCCACATTCCATTTAGTTGTCATGTCTCCTTAGACTCCTTTTGGCTGTGGACAGTTTCTTATACTTTCCTTCTTTTTGATGACCTTGACAGTTTTGATAAGTACTGGTCAGGTATTGTGCAGCATGTGCCTTTATTGAAATCTATCTGATGTTTTTCTCATGATTAGACTGGGCTTATGGATTTTTGGGAGACAGACTGCAGAGGTAATGTGCTATTGTATCATATCCTAACAAGGGTACATATTATCAGCATGATTTATGACTGTTGGTGTTGACTTTGCTTACCAGACTGAGGCAGTGTCTGTCAGGTTCCTCCACTGTACGGTCACTCCCCTGGTCTCCTAGAAATCACTATGTACAGCCACTCTGCTGTTAAGAAGTGGAGAGTTATAATCCCCTCCTTGGGGATGTGGTATTTATTAAATTATTTGGAATTCTTCTTCACAGATTTGCTCCTTCTCCCATTTAATCCTTAATTATATCAGTATGTGTAATTAATTTTTTAAAATTCTCATCTTTTCTGTTTCCTGAATTTGTTTTGATTTGTTTTTTTCTAAGTCAGTTTTTCTGTGTTTTTTCTTAACCTTGATTTTTCTCTTTTATGGTTATGGTTTTCCTCATATACCCTGGTGTCCATTTATCTTTAAGAAGGACAAGGTAGTTCATATAATTTTCCTCTGGTGAAATATAAGTAGGTCTATTTTTCAATAGGTATCTTTCTTGAGTGCCAGGTCTGCCTGCAAGTTGTTTGTATTTAGGTTGGGTGTGATGACTGCCTGGCATTGTTTTAGAGTAAACTGGTGGGACCTCCAATGACCTACCCCACAACTGCCAAAATACAAAGAAACAGGGAGAGCTTTAATCTGCAACTGTCACATTAGAATCCTGAGCACACTTTATCATTTTTGTTAGTTTGTTTATGCTTGTAAGTAAATGTCAGGCTGCCTTTACCAGGAAAGGAGTCAACTGTTCCGTACACCAACCTTCAATGAATTCCGATTTCTAATACTTCTCATCAGATCCACCAACCCTGAGTTTACAGCCACCCTGGAACTCTGATGAGCAGAGAAGCTCACTTCACCACAGCCCACATACAGCTCTTCATTCTGGGTTGTGGTTTCCTTAGCCTGTTGCTGTTCACTTTCTATCTTCAAGAAATATGTTTAAATCTCCTGTTTCTCTACCATTTCATCCATTTCCATAGGTTTATTACTTTTTAATTTCTAATACTTTAACTTCAGAGGAGTTTGGGAAAGAATGAAAGGAGAATGTGTCATCTTTTACCAGAAAACTCCACAAGTCTACTTAAATAAAAATAAAATTTCTCCTTAGCTTTAAGGTAAGTATAAATGTCCATTAACTCCTAATTATGGTTTCGTTGTTGTCTGTTGTCTGTTCGTTGTTGTCTGTTGTTATAGTTCTTAGTATAAACTTAATTTACTTTTCTATCAAAGCTTACATTAAAGCTCTGATAAAACTGAGAATTCCATCTCTCAGGGTAGGGTCCTTGCAAGAAAAAGAATTCACCATATGAACCTTTCATGAAGGGACTACATGTAGAGTGTGGGCAGCATTAAGGGAGCTAACAAGGGAATGGTGAGGCACCCAGGGCTAGCAACAGTAGGATACTGTTACAATTCTTAGAGCCAAAGGAACAAGGGGAGGAGGAGAGTTATGGGAGCCTGGCACGCACCAGAACCATGCAGAAGAGGCTGTCCAGCAGAATCTGTGTTATAAAGAGATATAGTTACTATGCTGAAGCAGAGAATGGGGAAGAAATGCCAACTTCCCTCTCCTCTGCCCTCCTATATACTGGCAATGCTTCCCATTGGCTAGACTCAACCAGAAGCTAGTCAGAGAGCCCAAAACATAAAATTTTCAGGGTCAGAGCACAGAAAAGAATGGATTGAGGTAGTGAGGACAGGGAGCAGATAAAGAACCTACTGTTTTAATACCAATATAGTTTCTATATTGAATATATGAGATTTTACAAAACATAAACAGGAATGTTTAATGTTGGATATCATCAGGTATAACTGTCTTGATTAAATGCAAAGAACTATTAATAATTCCCATTCTCATGAGTATTTTTTTTTTTGAGGAAAACAAAACCAAAAAGCAAATAAGTCTAAGGATAATCAAAACCATCATGTCAATTCAGAGAAGCCTCAAGTCCTTGAATGTGAAATAAAATCAGAACCAAACTTTATATTTTAAACATGGAAAATTATTACTATAATTAAAAAATCTATGCCATATGGTGTTAGAAGTCAGACCAGCAGTTACCCTTGGCTGGCAGTGACTGGGATGGAGTGGGAGGGACTTTGGGGATACTGGCAATGTTGTTTCTTGATCTGCGTGCTACTTATACAGATGTGCCCACACTGTGAAAATTCATCGAATAGTAAGTACACTTGTGATTTGGGTGATTTTTGTATATTTCAGCAAAAATCTTTTTAAAAATGATGGCAGCCATTAATACAATTAAAAAAAAAAACCAAACAACTATGTCAATGTGTTTTTATGCCTTTCTTTAGGTACCCTTACTAACAGCCAACAAGGACTTACTGGAACAGCTAAAGCAATGATGTATATTTAACAGAAATGAAAGGCAGATCTTAGCTTCAAAAAATTTGTGATCTGCTTATTTAGGAAAACCAAATATTTAGACTTGAAATTAAGAATATTAGTAGTATCTCAGGCTATGAAGAATGCTGTAGTAAAAACAGATCCAATACTGATATGTAACTGATTCTCACAGGAAGGCCTAGATAGAAATACTCTTTACGTGGGCTTTCTGTTGGAGATCTCTTTAACCTTAACAAAGGTCAACTAGACCAAATGCTTGTAGACCCTGCATTTAAACCTACAACACACACAGTGCCACAAAAGCTATGAAGATTTCTAAGCCTCTTCTCTTCTCTGCCCTGAGTGGTAAGTAGGAAGCCCACACCTACTGGGAAGGGAAGTAGACAGCACAGGGAAGGAGATTTGAGGGCAGAGACAGGGAAACATAAAGGAACATGACAGAGGATTTCTACAGATTAGAAGATCACTCTGTGTCAGAAGACTGTGTAAGAAGAAGTCTGTGGGTGCCAAGAGCAAAGGGATCTTGCTGCCTGCCAACACCACTAGGGAGGCAGCTAAAACCTCAGGATAAAATACATGTGTATACATCTAGGAAGATGGGCTATGGTTGTCTTCACCAAAAGTTCTGGGGTCTGACATATGGCACAGAAAAAGCAAAGACCTCTGGATCTGAAGGGATTTTCTAGCCAAGGATGACTGATATCTCAGGAGTAACTCCCAACCCTCATGTTATGGCACTGTGTAAAACCTCAGCTGTGGCATAACTCCAGGATGAAGAAACCTCAGGTAGATCTGAGATAATACAGTACTTCTGTTTCATTTATCTGGTTGTACTAGTGAAAGCTGTTTCATATAAGTGAGTTTTCTGGATAAGTAAATATAGAAACTGTGCTACTTATATAAATTACCAATCTCAGCTGAAATCTGGTAATGGGATTGGGGATTACTGCCCTTATCCTGAATTATTTCCAGACTGGAGTGCTTTTAGAGTTTTAATGCCTCTTTTTTTTCCTTACTCTCTTGACTACCTTTGAAGTCTTTTAGATATCAGTGTGCTTGATTCTAGTTATCCTCTCTTCCTTCTTCCTATTCCGATTTTTTGTTTGAAATATATCTTGGGTTGAAAAATCAGAAAACCAAGTATTTTTAAACTATTCTTAAATCAAGAGTCAAGAGGCACTGAGTGAAAATGCCAGGGTTCATGAGGGCAATTCTGATTACACCATGGCCTTTTCTTACTTTCTACCAGGTTCTTACCTATGTTCTATGTCAGCAATTTTCAAGTTATTTTCTTGAATTTTAAAGTTTCAGAAGGTGCTTTAGTGATTGCTGTGAGTGGACAAGAGGGAGGCTGAGAGGCCCTTCTCCCTTGCCTCAGTGGGAGTAACCCTGTTTTCCATATTTTCTACTCTGGGTTCCATTTTAGATTTCATTTAACAAAAGGATTTTATTGCTAAAACAAGTTTGGAAACCACTCTTCTAGAAATCTGACCTCTAGATTTGTGTAGCTTAATTGACTATATGTTATAATTGCAAAATTTTTTAAAAACCTCTGAAACTCCAAAAATATAACCTATTTTGAAAAGAAAATGAAAATTACCTGAAGTAAAGGGATGAAATCCTCCTGTTCTAGAGAGCTACAGCTGGGCTTTGCTAGAAGACAGATGAATTTAGAGGCATCATCATGATGGTTATTCACCAATCTATAAAAGAAACAAGTGCTTAGGAAGATTGGCTCCTCTGAACAAACAATGACTATAACATCAATAGTTGGTAATTTCAGTCTGACCTGAAGTCCTTTTAGATAAAAAACTAAGTAAGGGAATTATATAATCAAAGTATGTTTTAGAATGATGAGTTGTCTATGATATAGAGCTGGATGAGTGCTGAAGCCTCTTGGGACCCTCTTCCCTTCTAGTGGTCTCAGCATGAAATAACAAGGCCCTGGACTTGATGGTACAATGGAATGGAAAGAAAGGAACAGTTGTCTAAAACATTTTGAGGAAAATTCCTCAGTGCTCCATTACTCCTATCCTGCATTCCAACCACCTACTGGTAGATAAATATTAAGCTAGAAATTTGGGAGTCATCATGAACTCCCCCCTCCTTTTACCCCCAATGCCTATGAATTACCACATCCTTTCTATCAAATTTGCCCCTTTTGTCTTCATTGCCAGTATCCATGCTCAGGCTCTCACTGTTTCTTGCTTGATGTTTCTGAAAAACATCTGATCACTTGGACAGTGATCATGTCACTGTCCAAGTTAAAATTCTTTTTTAGAGTAGGCTAAAGTCCAAGCTCTTGACTTGACATAAAGGATCTTTAGGATCTGATCCTACCATCTCATGTCCCCTTCCACTACTATTCCTGCATTTGTAGTTGCCCAAATGTTCCATGTACTACCATACCAGGCATTTGTACATGCTACCCTCCTTACTGCAACACCCTTCTTCCCTACTTCACTTTCCAGGGAATCTCACTTGGCCTTCTGTGTCCTTCTATCCCACCTTGTGCTGCTTAGTTCTGTCATGGCTGTTCCACAGTAGTATAGGCTTATTGGAGTAACTCTTTCATTAGACTCTAAGCTCCTTACAGGGCATAAAACTGTGTCTTATTTTCTTTGTATCCCAAGCATCAAGGCCAGACACAGTTAGCATTCGATAAATGATTAAGAAAGAAAGCAAGAAAATGTTTGTGATCTAACAGACATATATTTGTTATATCTGTTAACAGTCAGTTGAGATATACATACTTAACTGACTTCACTTGTGATTACTAGAGGTATGGTATGATTTTTATGTTTATTCTCATTATGGTTTTTAATATGCTCAAGGCCCCTGAAGTTCAATAAATACATGTTTCAGAAAAAGATTAGTGCAATAGGAACTAATAGGAGCCATCTCTCAGGATTAGAAAATAGGTGGGATGATCAGAGCAGAAAGGCAGTGAAGTTTTTGAAAAGAAAAAAATGTATAGCACCACTAAATAAAACAGCAGATATATGATAGATAAGAGCTACTCTGAGAGGACAAAGTCAAAGGATGCCTTTTGCTACGAAGTAGAAAGTAAAAGCGAATTACAATTTTCTGCCAATGCTCATGGCTGATAAATGCTACTGGCTTTTAGGTGGTATGAAGGGATTAGAACACATTTGTACGATAAATCTGCTATTATATTTATTTTAAATAGTAACAATAACAATACTACTACTACTTGTAATAGGTGAATAAAGAAGAATGAAGGCAAGTATAGCTATTCTAAACTGGTATCTTCCAGAGCTTATAAGACAAAATATTGTTTCATTAATGGACAAATGACATATTGATATAAAAAGGTAAAAGAAAATAAAGCATAATAAAGCTGAAGCAATAGTATTGACTACATTTGAGAGGAAGGAATTCTGCCCCAAATCTGGTACTCTAGAACCTCAAACAAAAAAGCTGTGGAGCACTGTTTCTTCTAAAAACGTCCTGACTGTAAGAAAAATAGATATCAGAGTATAGATTTGAAATGGGCAGTAGCACAGGGAAATGAGGGGGGGAAAGATCCACTGGAGGAGAGATATAGAAGGCTCCAACTGATGAGCACTCTGACATGAGGGGTATTATTTACCTTTATGTTTTTGACTTTTGTATTTGAATTTATTTTTTAAAACTATATATAGCTTGTGATTGGAACAAGACAGCATATGTATGCATATGCCAAAATGTTTCAATTCTGTATCATTACCTGCAAGTTTTTATTTTTTATTCTTTTTTTTTTTTTTTTTGAGACAGAGTCTCACTTTGTTGCCCAGGCTAGAGTGAGTGCCGTGGCGTCAGCCTCGCTCACAGCAACCTCAATCTCCGGGGCTCAGCGATCCTACTGCCTCAGCCTCCCGAGTAGCTGGGACTACAGGCATGCGCCACCATGCCCGGCTAATTTTTTGTATATATATTTTTAGTTGGTCAATTAATTTCTTTCTATTTTTGGTAGAGACGGGGTCTCGCTCAGGTTGGTTTCGAACTCCTGACCTTGAGCAATCCGCCCGCCTCGGCCTCCCAAAGTGCTAGGATTACAGGCGTGAGCCACCACGCCCGGCCAACCTGCAAGTTTTTATACCTAAGAGTTTTAATATACTATACTTGGGCCCAAGTTGCTTTATGCAAAGGGTACAATTTGTAAAAATTCAGAAAACTAATTCTGTCTTCTCCAAGGTCAGTGTGGTGACTCAAATCAACATGCTTAGCTGCTTAGTCTTCCCACAATAGCCATATTTGAGTCTCCCTTAAAACACTCTGGCTTTTAAAAGGCATTTTAAGAGCTCAAAGAGGAGTTCCCACTAGAGGGCACTCAAACCATTTCAGTATCAGACCATAAGATAATGCTTTAATTTAGAGACACACTTTCACAGAATTTTTTTTAAATGAAAAAAGATACGGACAGTTGTTCGTGCTATTTAACTTCATTAGCAAGTTTTCCTGCAGTTAACCAAAGTGAAGACTTGTGCTTCATGTCTTTCCCCCCTTTTGCTTTTTACAGAAGTGCCTTTTCCCTGTAGATAAAATTAAAATGATTCATCTCAATGAAGTAATAAAATTATTCTTGTGGTGGCTACTATTGTTCTATTCACCAACACATACTCTGATCACTTTAGTTCTAATCTAATACATGAAGAACTGGGCGAACTCAACTTGCTCCTAGATTTTTAAAATTAAGAATACTTTTGTTTTTGAGATAGAGTCTTGCTCTGTTGCCCGGGCTAGAATGCAGTGGCTTCACTGTAGCTTACTGCAACCTCAAACTCTCGGGCTCAAGTGATCTCTGTCTCAGTCTCTTAAGTAGCTGGGACTACAGATGTGTGCCACCATGCCTGGCTAGTTTTTCTATTTTTAGTAGAGACAAAGTCTCGCTCTTGCTTAGGCTGGTCTTGAACTCTTGAGTTCAAGCAATCCTCTCATCTCGGCCTCTCAGAGTGAAGAACACATTTATTAATCACCTACTATGTTCTCAAGCATTATACTATTAAGGGCTTTTAGGTGGTATGAAGGGATCAGAAGGTCTATAAACTGAATCTATGGCTATTATATGTTACTTTTAAATAACAACAATAGGTGAATGGCATTTCCCAATAGTTTACTAGTAAGGGTATATAGCCCAGAAAAGGTGAGAAGAAAATTTATAAAGAGGGCTGATCTCTTAAGAGAGGAAGAAGGGGCAAGTTACGATATTCTCCTCAAATGTATAAATACATCAAAAAATAGCTACTAAGAAAGAAAGGAGAAAAAAAGAAAATGAAGCAGAAAGTTGGGCTTGAATTCAAGAATATCTGTCACAATGTTATAAACCAGGAATATCTTGATAAATATTAGCCCTTTTTTCTTTAACTGGAGCTTTTAAAAAATAATTAGAATCAATTAAAATTCAGTTATTTTTAGGTATAATTCAACTAGGTATAATTTTAAATTGGATTATATGAGAATGAAAATGTATTACTCATGTGATACATGTGGTTTGCTCCCTTTCAAGGAGAGTCTAGCTCCTTTTATGTCACTGCTGGCAGACCCAAATTCTGAGACCCAAATTTAACAAGTAAAACTAAGAAACTATCAAGTAGTTGTTTAAAAAGTATTTTTACGTATCTGTTTTACTGTTTAAAGACAAAGATACAGACTTGTCGCAAAGAACTTGTGTGTGAGTATAAATGGTTGTCAAATAACCAATTTTCCTTGTTGGAATAAAGTGTAAAGAGAAAATGAATAAATAACACAGGTGATCTTTATAAAGCATGCCATGAGGACCACACAATTCTTTGCCTACCCAGAGTTGACTGCTTACATACTTACTTTTTCCACATGGCAATGAATGACTGTGCTGACACAAATCCTGTCTTCTCTCCCCCTGCAGCCCTGAACATGGGGGCTTTCCAATAGAGAGGACAGCCAGAGACCTGCAAATAAAAACAACTACAGCGTAAGCCAAGAGGCAGTGAAGAGATATGTGGCTAAAGAAAAGGTCTTTGTGGCTTTTACCCTTCATACTGCAGTGGATAGAAGGGCCATTGGGAGAATAAAACTGGGTCACAGGCAAATATATCAACTAGGGTAGATTCAGAGAGAAACAGAAGAGAAACAAAATAAGAGGATTACATGTTTAATGAAGAAAATGGAAATCCATTTACCTTTTCTCCAAGTTCATTTATAGTGATTCCTCACCCACACCCACAATCCTGATAGTTAAAGCAACCAGCCTCACTTCCTAACACTCTTACATCATATACTTTCTACTTTCTAGAAACAAAAAGAAATGACAATGTCATAGTCGTATATGTATTCCATTCCTTGACCAGAAAGATAGAGCCACCTTTATTACTTGGTCACTTGGTGTTAATACACTCTACTACCTATCTCCTTCTCTTTCCTTTGTCCATTATGTTATTAAGTACCAGGTTCAAGAAGAACCAGAAAACCCTAGACTGCTCAAGAAAACATTTCTCAAATCTATTTAAATGGTTATAATTCAGGTAAAAGATGAAAGATAAAAATCAAAATGCTTTTTTAATATATTAGAAGATACCACAAATGACTACAAAAAGGAAAAACTGGGAATAAATATAACTTCAATAACCCTAAAAGCTATTTTTTTTTCTCCTTAATAAAAAGACCTTACTTCAATTTAAAAAAAATTACTCTTTTGCTATCAAGAGTTCTTACTAAATTTACCTGGTTTTTTCCTAGAGGAAAAATTCTTTCCTATAAGTAGTAATATTATCTAAATAATAGCAGAGAAATAGTCTCTAAATCTTCCCAATTTTATACATACACAGAAAACATTCCAAGTCTGGATCTCTTCAAGAGTCACATCTTGTTATGAGATAAAGATATGATCATTATTCGTATTAGATACTGGATTCGTTCAGCCTCCATCATTCTACAGAGAGAAGCTTCTCCTTTGGAAGTAGATCAGATGTGTATCCACATTAGGTTTAAGTGAACTCACTCCTCCTATCAGGCCTTAGTGCACAGGGATCCTCACAGGAGCCTGAAGAGTACCTAGTCTGACATTATCTATCTTGGGAGAAGCCCAAAGCTGCTGTGTTTATGTCGGACTTGAAGATATGGAAGGCAAGATTCAAGCCAAAAGATGTAAGAACAGGGCAGAAATAAGAGGTTGCTGCTGCCAGGGCCAATAAAGCACATCTGCAAGCAGAGTAGAATTTAAGATTTCTTAAGTCCAGAGGTCGAATACCTCCACTGAGGTCAAGAAAGAGGGAAAGGTGTTGCTTAGCAACCATGTGATTTTGTTTATTGTATAAATTGTGATTGCCAAGGTACAAAGCTCACAATTAATACAGTTTGGGTGTATAAACTGTCAAATCCACTTTCCCCAATCCCAGTCCCTCCTTTCATGCAGAGTAGTGGTTTGCCAAGAAAATGCTCTTAGCCTTAGTGATAGGCTATTGGCAACTGCTGGGAAAGCTGAAAGAATAGTATGTATTATGAAGTGGGGGAGACACATACAGAAAGTACAGGGAGAGAATGGAACAGGCTTGCCAAAGTGCTTGAAACTCCCACCACCAGAGTCACTCAAGAATTTTTCAGAATTGGAAGGGATCAGGAATCTTCTAGCTCAACCTTGGGAAGTGGGCACCAGCCTCAACTGAAACACCTTCCAGGGGCTGCATGCTTACCACCTACTGTGGGGTAACTTCCAGTTTTTTGGTTTTTTTTGAGACAGAGTCTCGCTCTGTTGCCCCAGCTAGAGTGCAGTGGTGTCATCATAACTCACTGCAACCTCAAACCGCTGAGCTCAAGCAAGCCTCCTGCCTTAGCCTCCTGAATAGCTGGGACTACAGGTGCATGCCACCACACCCAGATAATTTTTTCTATTTTTAGTAGAGACAGGATCTCCCTCTTGCCTGGGCTGGTCTCAACATGCTAGCCTTTAATAAATGATTTTTTTTGCTTAAACTAGCAACTGTTGTTTGCAACTAAGCATCCTGACTTGTATGAAACTATTATCTCACTATGGACTTTAATTTTTAAACTTTTTTATTGATACATAATATTTGTAAATGTTTACGGATTTTTAATTTTTTATCGCTATGAACTTTAAATCTCTATTTTGAAACTCAATGCAGACCCTTGGTTGGGTTCTGTCCTTCAAAAGTGTATTGTGAATGTGGCCATAAATTCTTTGCAGTTCCTCCATTAAGAGGGGAGCGTGTTTTCCTGGCCCTGAGTCTGGGCTGACCTATGACTTTTTCAGGATCAATACAACAATACAGAAGTGATAATGACTGTTACATAGAAAAGCTAATTGATAGCCCTCCCCATGAAACAATAAATATTGTGGAATTCATGGGCTAGAGTAATCATGAAAGAGCTAGGAACTAAGGATTACTGGGTGTTAAAATACACTGGTTTTGGATTTAGTGTCTAAAAAATATCCCTGTTATGAATCATTTTCTAAATCAAATTAAGCTAATCTGAGCTCCCAGCCACCACGATTGAACAATCAATGAAAATGTTAAGTTGGGCTGGCTTTTTGGAAGGGCTCTGCCCCCTCCTAGGGTTGTTATCCCAAACATAGACCCTGAAGAAGTGGGAGGCTCATACAGGGCAGTCACTGTCGTCTCTGGGAACCTGTTGCTTTGAAGAGAAAGCAGCAAAGGAGCTGGAGAGGCTCCCACAACCCCTGGAGTTTGATCCCATTGGCTCTGTCAGGCTATATGTTGCCCTGATCCTAAATCCTACACTGGGTCTCCTTTTGTAACTGGCTCCATGAACCCCTATATGTTTTTTATAATCCTCTCCCTTAAATTAACATCTTGACCCTTTGAGTTGTTTCCCAGAAATGAATCAACTTCCATTAACAACTTTCATTCCCTAGATTAAGGTCCTTTCTCCAGAAGATGCTTGTTAAAATGCATAGGTATCAGTTCAGAGATTAATACTTATAAACCTACTATGACCCAAAGGCAAAATCCTAAAAGATTAGGAACAGAACAAAAATGTTTTAAAGTGGATTGGAAAAGGTCAGCCTATTTTTCTCACTGTGGGATACCCTGAGTAGCCAAGCGTGAAACAACATGAAGGTATCAGGCCCCTGGAGAAAATGGCAAAGGAAAAAAGTGGGAAGGGCAGCAAATGGCAAGGGCTGTGGACATTATATTTTGACGATTTAATGGAAAATGTATGAACCCAGTGTGAATACGGTTTTTTTTTTAAACAAAGGAAGAGAATGGATGACAAGTGGGGATATAAAGGGTGATACAGAAAATGGGTGTAGGAAACTTACACTTAGAGGTGGCAGCAAGAGTCAATGTGTGGTAACCAAAGTTGCTGGAACAAAGAAAACTTAAATAACACCTATAAAATTTGATCTAAGAATGGTCCAATAACATAAAAGAATTAAAAGCAAAGCTGTCTAATGATATACATAGGAGGCTATGTTGTAATGTTCTTTCAACATTTAAACATATCTCATGCTGGTTATTTCATTTAGCCCTCACATAATCCCCATGCAGAAGAGGGCAGGTACTTTTACCACATTTTACAGATGAAGAAATTCAGGTACAGAGATGCTACCTTCACAGGCACGATGGGTCAAAAAGGTGCTACATCAGCCAGAGAGAGGAGCTGGAGGGCTTTGCATGGTTCAGAAGAGAGTTTTATTCTTTTTCCTCAACGTTCTGCTAGAGGTTAAAACTCTATGATGAATCCTCTGGCCCAGTCTCTGACAAATGCTTTTCTTACTCTTGCTCAGTTTCTGTTCCTATGCTGCTTTCATCCCTCTAAGATTCATCCTCTAGTCATTTCTTCTCTATCATCACTTAAAGCTGTGGAATAAAGCATAAACTACACACTGAGAATTTAACTAGATGTGGGCATTAAGCTCTTCACGGCTGTTTGAGGTCTAAGATGAATGAGCTAAACTTCACGAATAGATGCAAATTTCAGAAACAGAGTTTTCTCTGCACTTGAAATATAGATCCCAGTCTTTACAGCTATACTTAAGTGCCACTAAGAGTAGGTTGCAAACTAAAGCTGGCCTTCCTAATAGCTTTATAAACTACATGAGTCCATAAAAATATTCATTTATTGCTCTGACAACCTCTCTCTTCCTTGCCCCTTAAAGGTTGCCTCTCTTTCTCCTTTTCTCATGCCAATCTATTGTAATCTATTGGACAGTAAGTGCTGGAGCCACAGAATCCACTGCCTGGTGCCAAAAAGACTTGCATAGTAAAGAATTATTGAAAATAAGGGTGACTAAGTGAGTGCTAACAGACTGCCATAGGCAAGTAAAAGCTAGAATAAATGAGAATTAGCTAACTGGAAGACATGACTAAATCAATTTTTAAAAATTGTTTAAAGAATAAAGACAGTTTAAAGAATAAATGTTCTGTTTCTGGATACTCTCAAAAAAAAAAATAAAGAATAAATGGTTTAAAGAATAAAGTCCAACAAAATGAGCTGATATAGTAATCAAAACCAAAACAATACAAACCGATACACTCATCATATCTTTTGAGGTCATTGTATATAAATCTTCATTTTCATATGTAATGTTAGTTTTAACTTTTTAAAGGTATGGGCAGTTTACATTGCTACTTAAGCTGACAATTAAGATCTAAGAGCAATGAACACAAAGGCTTGGTGCCCATGAATGAAATTTAGGGCTATAATCAAGTATAATTCAGACAAGTTAATCAGACATATATATGTATAATAGCTATTGTGCCACATGATTATTAGGTATAAACAGTAAATTGTTATGGAAGTGACTGTTACTATGGCTAAGCAAATTAATTTTCTCTTTCTAAACTTCTCCGTGTTGTCAGCTTCGACATGAATGGTTTTTCCTGAGGCCACATACAGACTGATCCTCACTGCACATAAATAGCAAAGTCCTTCCTCTGGCTCCCCACCATCCTGAGGCCCCCTTCCCTGCCTTTACTATACTCTTTTTCATACCTGCCTTGACCATTGTGAAGTCAAGAGGCTTTCTGCTTTCCTCTCACTGAATCTGTGGAGTGCTAGAGGGCCACCGAGTAGTGCAACAGGACAGGGCTACCACAATACAGGGCTGGAGGGACAGACCCAGAGGGATGTGGAAGCAGGGCAGTGTGAAGGCACAGGGAGAATGGGCTCTTCAGTCAGGGGCTGAGAATATCTGGAGAAAGAGAGTTGGCCCAGTGGGACCTGTATTCAAGACAGGGTAGGCTGCAGGTTTGTGACAGTTAGGCACTAATCACCTAGATGCACTCTCCAGACATGGTGACCTCAGCACTGTACTGGGGAACTGCTATGCTTTAATCTGGACAGTTTCTCCTTGTCTGCCTACCTGAAGCAATCCATGAACCCTCCTATCTCTTTCACACAAATTATCCCCATGTTAGAAATACACTGTTGGAAATTATGCAGTTACCATGTTATCTCCAAATGCAGATTTCCTTCATCCTTGCTAAATTTTATCTTTTGGATTTAGATCGATAGTTCTGGCCCATTCAGAGAATTTATTATTTTGATTCTGTCTTCTAATAAAATAGCTATCTCTTAAAGAATTGGGTAAGAAATCCCTGAGTGCCCTGAAAGAACTGGTAATTTATTTGGATGACTACTGATTAGAAGTTAGTTAATGTTAGTGTACATTCAGGGAGATAACACATGTAGAAACAGCACCATGCTAGAAGTTAAAGGACTTGTCTCCTGACATGGACTAGTTCTGCGACTGCAGGTAAGTACTCTTGGTACAGCAGTTTTCCCATAAGTAAAATGGAATGAAATCAGATAAGCTATTATTTCTGGAATGAGTTTGTTTTTCATTAGAAACATCTAAGGGATCAACAAGCAATTTTTAAGACAGGGATGAAGAAAGAGAGAATAAAAGAAAGAATTCTCTTTTAGTTCCTTTAAAATCACTCTAGTTATAAACCATTTAACAGCAATGACAAATGCCCTGTGAGGTCAGAAGTAGGGCATGGCTGAAGTGGAGGTTTAGGGACTTCTCCAAAAAGACAAAATGGAAGCCGGGGCTCCAAAATGGATACTGTGAGAGCCCAAGAGCTCTGAGAGCCCAAAGTCAGAGGTGTGCCTGTGAGCAGGCAAGTGGGTCAGGCTCATAAAGGTTTGGGAAGGAACTCTGGGGCCAGATTGCAAAGGCCCTGTGGAATGCCAAGAAGAGAAGGTTGAGTTTTATCCTGAAGAACAGTAGCTTTAAAACTTTTAAACATTACTCCTGAAAGCAGGGGAAGCGTTCCCAGTGGAAGTGTGCCTGGGGTCTTGTGCATTCTCCTACTTGCCTCCATGCATCTCTTAGCCTACTAAACCCCTCTGCCTCTTGCTTGAAGCACAGAGTGAAACCACTGCTAAATCCTGAGGTATGATCTGACTCTTCAATATACATGCATGATAAAAATAAAACACAAATAAAACAAAACACTACTCAAGAGGGTTGGAACCCTTGAATATTGCTGAACTGGGAATGGCATGATCAAATATAATCTGATGGTCATGCTCAGTATTAACTGTTCTGAGAGAAGGCTGGAGGTATAGAATCCAGTCACAGTAGTCCTGACATTGGGACTTACAAACCTTAAATCAGAAGCAGTTGGATATATCAGAAAATATCAAAGACTTGCTTCCTAGTGTCAAATCCACTTATTTCAGGGTAAAATGACAATGCAGAGATGGCCTAATGGTGCCTTGTCTGGCATTACGGCAGAGTTATGATTAATGTGAGAGAACAACAACAAAAAAAGATTCCTATTTAACTCAAGGAAAAATTTAATGATGGAACAGGCTGCTTGGCAAGGTAGTAAGCTTCCAGTCACTGACAACATTCACATAGAGAATGAATTCATGAGTTGATGACTTGGAAGGGATTCCTGTATTAAATGGGAGGTTGAACCGGAAAACCACTAACATTTTCTTTCAAACTTAGAAGTTCCATGAAATAGGACCACAGATAAAAGACTTTATCAGGATCAAACAAATTATTTAAACATGGAGAAAAAGTCTATGCATACTTAAAAACAGAAAGCAAAGAGGCAGTAAATAGGAGGAGATTGGGGATTCCAGAGAAAGGGGGATTGTAAATCATTTAGTTATATTACCTTTGCAATTTTCCCCATTTCATAAATGTCTGCTTTCTGATCTTCAATATCCATGAAAGCAGTTTCAATTCTGCTTAGAGTCTGTTCATGGTTACTGCAGGTATCTGGGAGTCCTTCAGGAAAGTAGAACTGTGGAATGTTTATGGACAATGGTGTGTTCACAACATTATTCACATGAAGAACAGGAGAGGGAGGTCTGGGACTACTTGGCAAGGTGGCTGGAGGTGGAAGCGGTGTTCCAGGTTTCTTTTCTGGTTTATTTTGAATCTGGAAAAAAAATGAGATTATGAGACACAAAAATTCTAAACAGCTTTTATTTCTTGAGAATCCTTACCAGTAGCAGGAATTTGGGTATAAGTACAAAACCACAATTAGAGATGGTAGAGATCAAGGGCTAACTCCACTCTGGAGGGTGGTAAGCATGTTTCTAGGGAGTTATTATCCATGTTAAATAAATTAATACATCAATTATCTGTCAATAATAAAATTTACATAGATTTATGTTTAAAAAATCCTGCAGTACATTTTCCCATCAATCAATTGGCAGACATTTCAAAAGAATCAAAAAGCAATGTCAGTTGATGTATTAAGGATATCAAGAAGTAATCTCAGTCTGCTGGAACTGGATTAGTAAATTCTTTTTGAAGACTGTTCTTGGCCTTTCTGTGAATTTCTACTTCAAAAAGGCAGAAATGAGTTCTTTTTAAATATATAAATCTAAAACAAAATGGGGTGAGGCTCCTTTCACCGTCTTCTCTAGTTTGACTTTGCTGAGGTGGAATCACTGCCAGAGCCTGATGCTGAGAAAATCTTTGTTAAGAAAATAAGCATTTTAGTTCTGGAACATCCTCTACCTGGCTGATTTACTTGCCACCAGAGGCATGCCACTTTTTCCAAAATATACATTTGTCTTATTTTTGGTATGTTCTACATAGGCAAGGACCATGGTCATTAATTTCATCACGACCAAATTCTCTTTACAGTTTATGACTTCATATACAGTTTATATCATTCCTTTTTATAAAAAGCATTTAATGTAGTATAACATAAAGAGACATTAGAAAGGACAGTAAAGGTGGGGGACGATGGGAAGACTAAGATTACTCATGATTTAGGAAAAGGGAAGGGGAGGTACACCGTCATTCAGGTAGTTCATTTTACCGATGAAGACTGAATTTAGTTCTGAGATTCCTAACAGAAAAAGCAAAAAAGATTCCACAAAGATTTTCACAGTTTATACTCTTAATTAATGACTAAGTTATTTATCAAGGCTCATAAGCATGGCACTGTGTTGGATGCTACATAAAGTCATGTTCATGAAAGATGGAGATGGACATGACTGTTGACTAGCTAACCTTACTTTATTTATTTATTTTTTTTGAGACAGAGTCTCGCTTTGTTGCCCAGGCTAGAGTGAGTGCCGTGGCGTCAGCCTCGCTCACAGCAACCTCAATCTCCGGGGCTCAGCGATCCTACTGCCTCAGCCTCCCAAGTAGCTGGGACTACAGGCATGCGCCACCATGCCCGGCTAATTTTTTGTACATATATTTTTAGTTCGTCAATTAATTTATTTCTATTTTTGGTAGAGACGGGGTCTCGCTCAGGCTGGTTTCGAACTCCAGATCTTGAACAATCCGCCCGCCTCGGCCTCCCAAAGTGCTAGGATTACAGGCGTGAGCCACCACGCCCGGCCCTAACCTTACTTTAAATTCACTGTGAACACAACATATTATTCAAATGTTCTTCTTCCTTAAATTACCCTAATGGCATCCTACAATTTGAACGATGATTTATATATAAGAAGTAGATCTGAATATCATATTTCCTCTTAACATATGACTTATAACATGATTTTAAAATTCAGGATAAGGCCGGGCGCGGTGGCTCACGCTTGTAATCCTAGCACTCTGGGAGGCCGAGGTGGGCGGATTGCTCAAGGTCAGGAGTTCAAAACCAGCCTGAGCGAGACCCCGTCTCTAACAGAGGAGAATCCTTCTACCTGACAAGATTGACAACTTACTAAATCCGACTATCTTCGAAGTGTGCTGGACAGTTACGAAGTAAACATTCACTTTTCAAAGATGATGATCAAGGAAACATCTCTACGAAGGGACCCGGATCTAAGAGGAGAGTTAGCTTTCCTGGCAAGGGGCTGTGATTTTGTTCTCCCTTCACGGTTTAAGAAGCGGCTAAAGTCATTTCAGCAGACACAGGTTTGAAACTTGGGTGTTTCTTTTGAAATATTTTTATTACTAATAAAACCACCCAATGAACTAACTCTAATAATTTTAAGCTCACTTGTATCTTGATATTAGATCAAGGAATTAATCTGTGTCCTCTATAAGCTATTTGCAGAAGCTATTGTAGAGGGATTCCAACAGGTTTAAAAATAGACCTTCTGGACCTGGAGTACAGTACTCACATTTTTCTCTTGTAGAGAGGGAACCCAGTTTAGAGACAAGAAATACAACTTAACAAATAGTTTACAATTAGTCAGAAAAATTAGAATCTTTAATGGGAATATCTTGAGAAACTAGAATTTCTGTGTTAAAAGCCTTGTTTGCACTTTAAATCAGCAGGCTGTGTTTGTATTAACATACATACATCTGTAATGAATGTTTATAAAAAAGAATATATCCTGGTAATGTTTTTAAACCAAGAAGCATTTTTTATATAGACAAGTGTGTGTGTATATATGTGTCATATGATGTACATATGTAGATAATGAAGGATGGAAAATTATTTAGAGAGTGCAAAGAATGTCTTCCTTGAGCAGGCTGTAAGATTGAGTCATTCCTGCCTGTGATGACTTCTTTGCCAAATCCCTGCTTTCTGTTCATAACCTTGGTGGCAGTGTTTTTTGAAGTTGCCTAACATTGAGTACAATATAAATCAAGGGCTATACAAGTGCAGGTCATCCAAAATCAGCAAGAAGTCATAGTTTCATAGTTACTCTTACCAGAATAATCTCAAATTATTTGGGAATTATATGAAATTGCTTTTTTGTATGTAAAAAATGATCAAATATCAGAAATGCTACAGTGACATAATAGCGTAAGGATACTATTCAGAATGAATATCTAAATGATACTGTGTTTATAGGAAAGACTTAAATGGAGAATTGAGATGCTAATTCTATTTTAATGCTGCTCCTAGATTGGCCTAAAACCACTCCATTGAAAGTGAGCAGATGATAAACTTACCAGTGAATCTGGCAAAATTTATATTACTAGGTTTTATTCTGTAATGCTTATATAAAGGGTCAATTTTATTAACTACTTTAAGGTTTAAATTATATGTTTCCTATAGAATTCAAATGGAAAGTTCAATATAAATGCATTTTTAGATATTATTTTCCTTTTAAATATTAATATCAGTTTTATTAATATGGAATTAACCAGTGAAATAATAGATATTTGCCTATCAGTGAATTGCTGTGTTAAGAAGTACATTAAGAAAACAGAGTAGAATATTATGTAATCAAATATTTTCCCATTCAGATGAAAACTTTAACAGCCAGTGTTTTGTTCTGAATGTCACTTGTTTCTGTAAAGCAAAAACAGAGTTTTAGAAGACCCAGCTCTAACCCTTCCCCATTAGGGTGTGTTCATGAGACTATCAGTTTATCCCTGTGGTCCTAATTCTGTGGGCATAACTACTCTGAAATTATCCATAACTGCCTGGATGTTACAGCATGGGAAACATGGGGAAACAATAAAATAATTTGATGATTGCACACTTGTAGTTTCACAAATCTCTTTCGTCATAGAATAGTGGAAAGGAAATAGCACTAATGTAGGTAAAGACCTAGATAAAGCCTCTGAAGAATTCTATGCCTTATTTTAGGATTTTAAGAATACTTTAAAACAATAACAATAACTATTATTGACTCCTAGCACTATGTAATATTTGCAGATTTAGCACTGAGAAGTGTTTATTTAGAATAGATTATCAATTTATTAAAAGTGATTTATAAATTTTAATTGCCTTATAAATGTAAATGATTATTTAATTTATTATTGAATCTGAAGGACCATGCCAAATAATGCTTAATCTGATCTTTTAAGAACTTCACCATTTGGACTGTTTTATGCTTTTAAAAAAAAAAAAAAAAGAACTTCACCCTTTGGCCTGTCACTTATTTTCTTACATCAAGACAGATCTGTGCCCAGCACTATTGAGAATCTTTTATCTATGTTACATCCTGTAATTTCCTTTAATGTTCACAACAACCTTCCAAGAAGTAAGGACTGTAGTTTCTGTTTTATTACTGAAATTCTAAAAGGTTAAGTAACTTTCCTGAGGTCACAGAGTAGTAAGCCATCACTGTTTTCTGTGAAGTTTTTCATGTTTCATTGGCATCACTTCCCTGTGTTTCTTGACTATTGCTTTATATGGGTGACATCTTAATACTTACTGCAGCAAAGGCTTGATATGACAGCTGCCCTTTATGCCCCTGATAGTATTAATATATGAGCAGAATCCTCTCTGTGTGATATTGCTAGATATTAACACATAGGAAATGGGCCATTATAACAAAAGTAGGAAATTTAACCATTTTCATCACATGTTTATGTGAATGAAGCTTATCTGCCCTATAAAACTCATGCATTTTAAGGATAGCTAAGACTTTTATCCTGAATTTTTTTTTTTTTTTTTGAGACAGAGTCTCGCTTTCTTGCCTAGGTTAGAGTGAGTGCTATGGCGTCAGCCTAGCTCACAGCAACCTCAAACTCCTGGGCTTAAGCAATCCTACTGCCTCAGCCTCCCGAGTTGCTGGGACTACAGGCATGAGCCACCATGCCGCTAATTTTTATATATATATATATATATATATATATATATTAGTCGCCAATTAATTTCTTTCTATTTTTTATAGCGCTTAGCTTCCTTGGAAAGGTTTGTTGTGAACGATTCAAAGGAATTAGGCAGGATGTAACGATACGATGAACAGATTCTCAACTAGTGCTGGGCAGCAGCGACTGACTGTCTTGGATGTAGCAGAAATAACGCTGACAGGCAAAGGGTGATAGTTTCTTTCTTTTTTTTTCTTTTTTTAAAAGCATACAAACTAGTCCAAATGGTGAATTTATTTAAAAGATCAGAATCCAACAGGGGGGGCGGAATGGGACAT